GTCTTACTGTTTTATTTAAACCGGAATTTTGTAGGCTTAAACCGGCTGGTGAGCCTCCGTCTCCTAGAGCTGCTCACGCCGCAGCTGCTGTTGGTACCATGGTCGTTTTTCAGGTTGTTTATTCATCAATTAATCAAACCATTTTAGTGTTTCTTGCAAATGTGAAAGGCTTTTCGTTAATTGTAGTGGTTGTGTTTGGCTGATTAACAGGGTGGTATTGGCCCTGCTGGGCATTCTACCGATGATCTTTACGTTCTTGACATGACTAATGATAAGTACAAGTGGCATAGGTGAGAGATTCTCGTACGATTTTGCTCAGTTTTATATCTCTTTGCTATTTTTTGTGTTGGTGACAATATCGTGTTCAGGGTGGTGGTTCAAGGGGAGGGTCCAGGCCCTCGCTATGGTCATGTTATGGATTTAGTTTCTCAGAGGTATCTTGTAACAGTCACAGGAAATGATGGTAAGAAAATATCTTTATTAGCCGACATATCATGAGCCTAGCTTACCCTAACAGGCATCAACAAATAGGGATTGTCTAAGTCAAATCCTAAGGGGTAGACCATTATTCAATAACCAATGCTACTGAGATATGTATATGCATTTTTCTTTCGACTTTATAGATAATTGTATGGTTATGAGAACCTTCCGTGCCCCTTAAATAACTTAAGTTCTTACACTGAAATTTGTTATTCTGTTTATTTCTTAAATATCCTGAATTCTTTTGTCCATCTCTGTACGGAACAGGGAAACGAGCTCTCTCTGACGCTTGGGCATTGGATACAGCTCAGAAACCATATGTATGGCAGAGACTGAACCCTGATGGCGACCGACCAAGTGCTAGAATGTTAGTGATTTAGTTTATTTAAATGGCTACTGTAGTACATCTCTTTCTTCAACGTAGTTTTCACATCTTTTGATATTTATGTGTAGGTATGCTTCTGGCAGTGCTCGTTCTGACGGCATGTTTTTACTCTGTGGTGGACGAGACACCTTGGGGGCGGTATACTTATCTTCTTCACTAAATTTTGTTTCTGTGAATGAAGTAGTGAACTTCTCTTTTGAGGATAGGGATATTACATTACAACATCTTTCTTACTAGAGCTCGCCTTATTTTGCTACATGATCTCAATTTATATCTCTTCTATGAATTCTGGCATCTGCAGCCGTTGGGAGATGCGTACGGTTTACTCATGCATAGAAATGGTCGGTGGGAATGGACTCTGGCTCCAGGCGTAGCACCTTCTCCAAGATACCAACATGCAGCGGTAAACTTATTCTTACTCTAATTTCAAAACGTATGGAAAATAAGTTCTTAAGCGTAAACTAATAGTAGACACATTGTAGACTTAGAAACTAAGTCTACACTTACTTAGCTTTAAGATACAAGGATTAGTGAGGCGTTAAGCTTCAATTACAATACAATGCTCTAATGTTAGCTGGTATACTGCGTTCTTTAATTGTTTTTTTTCTCATCAGGTATTTGTAGGTGCAAGATTGCATGTCAGCGGTGGTGTTCTAAGAGGAGGCCGCATGATAGATGCTGAAGCAACTGTTGCAGGTATTCAATATCTGTTTTTCTTTATCTTTCTTCTTTTTTTCTACGTCTGGATTTTACTCACTCGTAGCCATTTTCAGTAATGGTAATTGTTCTGAAATCTTTCTTCTCGCAGTGCTTGATACTGCTGCTGGTGTATGGTTGGATAAAAATGGGCAAGTGACCTCTGCGCGTGGCAGTAAAGGACAAATCGATCAAAATCCATCTTTTGAACTTATGCGACGCTGTCGCCATGGTGCTGCATCAGTTGGTATCCGAATCTATGTACATGGTGGTCTTAGAGGAGGTAATCCAATTTTTTGTTTTTTTAAATAACACCAGATGCATATGTTATTGCAAGACATGTACCTTAGTTCTATGTTTTAGTTAATGCCTTTATTTGTTTGACTAAGATGCCGTAATTTTCTTTCCTCGCAGATGTGTTGCTTGACGATTTTCTAGTCGCTGAAAACTCAACATTCCAGTCAGACATCAGTTCTCCTATGTTAGCAGATAGAAACTCACAAAGCTCTACCCCAAGGTTTTCTTATGCCGGACGACCTCCTTCAGGCTCTGAACCAGCACTCTCCTTGTCGGAAGGACTAAGGTTTTACTCCGTTTCTTACGGTCTTTTGGTTTTGTGCTTAACTCAATCATTACATATCTTTCTTTTCTCCCTTGACACTATCAGATTGGATGAAAATTCCTTGGAGAAATTGACGGAGGCTTCTGCAGCGGAAGCAGAGGTAGCTAGTTCTGTTTGGCGAGCTGCACAGTTAGGTTCTTCTCTAGATGAAGAACCCTCTGCATCTGATGGCAGTTCAGCAACAGTAGAAACCACTAGTGACGGTCCTGAAACTGAAGGAGATGTCCGGCTTCATCCGAGAGCTGTATGTGAATCCCCAATGTTCAACTTCTCTATTGTTTTCATTAAACTTTTTTTTTAGAGAATGTTTCTTTCATACCTTAGATATCTTTGGTTGCTCCGTTTGGTGTACTTCTCAACATATTGTTTACCTCAAATGGATGTTATTCATATGTGCTCACCAAAATGGCCTTACCATTGTACAGGTTGTGGTAGCAAAGGAGACGGTCGGAAGTCTTGGCGGCATGGTTAGACAGCTAAGCTTGGACCAGTTTCAGAATGAGAGCCGACGAATGGTTCCCATGAATAATAGCGATGTGCCACAACCCACTAAGAAGTTCACAAGACAAAAGTCTCCACAAGGCCTGCATAAAAAGGTATTGATTCCTCCTTGACACTGTCACAGTTAACAACTACTAATGTCTTTAGTTGCTTGCAGGTCATTTCTGCTTTGTTGAGACCACGAAACTGGAAACCTCCCGGCAACAGGAAGTTTTTCTTGGATTCTTACGAAGTTGGGGAACTCTGTTATGCTGCTGAACAAATATTTATGCATGAACAAACGGTTCTTCAGCTAAAAGCTCCTATTAAAGTCTTTGGTGATCTCCATGGGCAATTCGGAGATTTGATGCGGTTGTTTGATGAATATGGATTTCCCTCAACAGCTGGAGATATCACGTAAGTTTAAGCGAACAATTGAATAATTTGAGTTTTGCCAAAAAAAAATGCTCACTAATCCAGTAAACGTATTAACCTCAGGTATATTGATTATTTATTTTTGGGAGATTATGTTGACCGTGGGCAACACAGCTTGGAGACTATAACTTTACTACTTGCATTGAAGGCAAGACTGTTCCTGATTTCATATTACTACTGTCATCGTAATTGTGCTTCATGAGTTTATGGTCATAAAATGTTGTTCTGCAGATTGAATATCCGGAGAATGTTCACCTGATTCGTGGAAATCACGAGGCTGCTGATATCAATGCCCTATTTGGTTTCCGTCTTGAGTGCATAGAAAGAATGGTAACATTGTCTTTGTCTCTGCAAAGTATACATCTGTCTGTCTCTAGCTATTCTGCTTGGACTAAGACTGCTCTTTTGCTATTATCAGGGAGAGAGTGATGGGATCTGGGCATGGACAAGATTCAATCAACTCTTCAATCATCTTCCCCTCGCTGCACTCATCGAGAATAAAATTATATGTATGCATGGTGGGATTGGGAGGTCAATTAGTACAGTGGATCAGATCGAAAAAATCGAAAGGCCTATAACAATGGATGCTGGATCCCTTGTTCTTATGGATTTATTATGGTAATACGTCATTTCTGCTCCTGCTTTAATATTGATGGCTGTATCTTACATTACTAATATTTTGAAGTACAGGTCTGATCCTACAGAAAACGATAGTATAGAGGGTTTGAGACCAAATGCCAGAGGACCCGGTCTTGTCACGTTTGGGGTAAAAGAACATTCTCTTAGTGTCTCTTCCCATTAATATAATGATTTTGGGGACAATCACTGAAGTCGTAAGTGTTGGTATTGCAGCCTGATAGAGTTACAGAGTTCTGTAAAAAGAATAAGCTACAGCTTATTATTAGGGCTCATGAATGTGTAATGGATGGATTCGAAAGATTTGCGCAAGGGCAGTTAATTACGCTATTTTCGGCTACAAATTACTGCGGTGAGTAGAAACACAAATCAGTCAAAAACATATTCTTGTATCAAAAACATTATGCTGATACGTTTCTAACAGGAACTGCGAACAATGCGGGAGCTATATTGGTGGTTGGCAGAGGATTGGTGATTGTTCCTAAACTGATTCATCCTCTTCCACCTCCTATCTTATCTCCAGAGAATTCTCCAGAACACTCTGGAGATGACGCTTGGATGCAGGTAACAACACTTGTATCTGTCTTTGTCTATACCGCATAACACAGTTTTGGTACACTAGCATCGTGTCTTTGTTTCACAAGTCAATCTTAGTTAGAAGTTACGTGTGCATACATATAGAGTCTTCATCACTTTCTTAGAAAAAGATAGTTCTGGAACAAGACGATATAGTAGAGTTTATGTAGCCATAAGTTCCGTTGTAAAGAATTAGACACTGAAACCAAAGAATATGTGTGCAGGAGCTGAATATCCAAAGACCGCCTACTCCAACACGAGGGAGGCCACAACCAGATTTTGACAGAAGCTCGCTTGCATACATCTAAATCTAAATTGCTTGTGTTCTGTTTCGTAATTGATTGAAGTCATCAAGGTAGAAGCAAAAGACATTGAAAATTTGGTAAACAACTCTATACAAGTATAGCAAGATCTATGTTTCAAATTTTGCAGTGTTCATATACTCTGCCGCACATTGTGTAATATAATTAATTACCTACATGAATGATATATTTTGTTTTGTTTCTTCCCTCTTTTGCTTCTCTAGTGAAATAAGATATATATTTCTTTTGCAGGTCTTGTGGATGGTGTATGTGCTATGTTTATGCATATATGCATGTGAAACATATCAAATATTTTTTTATTTATATTAAACCATCACAAGTTGAAGTAGCTATTACATCCATTGTTGTGAATAAGTTAAATGATGCTTCAAAGACCACAGAAATCATGGAGAGGAGACTCAGTCCTACGACCAGCTTCCGTGATATAGAAGGCACGGTAATCATCATATGCAAAGGGTTTGAACACACGTGGATGTTCTTCATCGATAAGTTCTTCAGGTGAATCAATGATAACTTCTGACTTTGGAGACGAGAACAACGCAGTCGAATACCTTGTCTTCTTTGCAGTCATTATGACTCGATGATATGGTGAAGAAAATCGATCATTCAAATATGCCTGTAACACCAACAGGAAATATAATAGTGTGTGGGTAATGTTGTATATTTGAAGGAAGCTAGAAGAACTTACACATAGAGAATCTCCGACCATGGCGATGAAAGAATAGGGATGAGATGGTTTCACTTTGATCCATTTTTCATCTTTGGTTTTAATTTCCAAACCATCAACCTGATACTGATGAAGTATTGTGACGATGTTCTTATCGGCATGGGAACGTAGACCTAACTTTGTCTCTTCATCATCACCATTGTCATCGGGAGGTATTGTATACTTCATCATTCGAAGAGCATAAGTTGTAGAATCAAGATGTTCGTCAATGTGTTTCTCTATCCCAAAACTCTCCATAATCATTCTTCTCACCATCATATCCAGTTCGACTAAATACTTCGAGTACACATGCACCGTCTCACTTTTTCAACACAAAAATATATGAGTTGAATTCTTGAAATGCTTTGGAGAATGTTTAAAACTTTTACCAAAAAAAAAAAGAATGCTTCAAACGTAATTAGTTGTTTGATCAATCAAAAGTTTAAGGTAGACCAAATTTTTTTTGTTTTAATAAAAATAAATTTAAAAGTTACTGACTTTTATGAGTTGAATTCTTGAAAGGTTTTAAAGAATGTTTCAAAAGCATATAACTGCGTTGATCAATCAAAATGTTTTATATATACCAAAAATGATCTTTTGTTTTGATACAGATAAACCTAAAAAAAATTTGTTTTTCAAAAGAGAACCTTAAATTTATTGATTTCACATTCATACCTAATTCTCTTGTTTCCTTGGCCAGGCCATAGCTGTTGAGTAAATTCATTGACTTTCTCCACAAGATTAGCATCACTAATTCCAAAACTCTGGCAAACATTGTAGTTTAGGTATCCATGAAAGGGTTTCGAAGACACGTGTCTCTGTTTGGTCTGAACCGGCAAGTCGAAAAGCTCTTCCATGGCTTCAAAAACAGACTTATCAAGCTCCACTGACACTTTGTCAAAGAGAGCTTCAAAACAACCATAATCTTCTAAAGCTTTACGGACATCAGCTTTCACTTTGTCCCACTTTGAGGTTCCTGGTATCAGGGTTTGATCCGAGAAATCAATAACTGGGAGTTGAATGGAAACTGAAAGAGGAAGAAGAGAGTTTGAATCCATTTCTTGATTCTTAGAATTTAGATGGTGTTTTCCCTTTCTTAATTCTAGCTTAAATACTAAATTTATTTTTTCGGGAATCGTTTTCTAGAACTAATAGGAATTATATGTTTTACACATGGTTAGCGTGACCATAGCTTTTCTATGAATAGTTTATGTAATAATTGTGTTTGTTGACAGTAATGGGCCCTATTAGATAAACGTGAATATTTTGCTGATTTTTTTACAGTATTGGTTTATTATTCTACTACGGTTCATCTTTGCTGACGTTTATTAGTCAAAATAATATTGTTAATAAAAGCTTTTACAGTATTGGTTTATTATTCTACTATGGTTCATCTTTGCTGACGTTTATTTGTCAAAATAATATCTATACTATACTAAAAGGTGAATATAACTCATAGGAAGGATGTCCACGTGGGATAAAATAATCAACCACTAAAATTAGAGCATTTTTCCATGTCATCCCACTGTTAACGAAATTTTATCTAACCCTAATTAAATTATCCCTTTGTGTCTTTTCCTCTCCTTTCGACTTCCTCTTTGTTTCTTCTTTTCTCCAGTTCGTTTCTTTGATCTGTCAAACCACCTCTCCGACGAACTCCGTGCAAAGCTCGCCGAGGTGGACTTGAGACCACTGGACTCAAAGCCGTTCTGGTATTTTTGCGTTGAATCTCTTCTCTTATCGATTTTGGATTTAGGAGTTTTGGTGATTTGGTAGGTGGAGAGGCTCGAAGAAGCTATCGAAGAAGAGGAGAAGAAGGACAAATCGAAGAGGAAGAGGAAACGAACCGTGGATTCTTCGGATGGTGGTGATGATTCGAATAAATTGATTATTTTAGAGTTGTGAACTGCTTTTCAACGATTGTGGTGACCAAGTCCAGCAGTTACAGATAGTTCATGTGGTAATTGTTGGAAACTCTTAACTGGACAGATACTGATAACTTCCCCTGTAAAATAGAGCTTTGGTTATCTGCATCTATTATGATCTTTATTGGTTGGTTTTCCTGCAGAACATGGACGTGAAAGATCAATCAAAACTGTTCTCTCCATCAAAGAGCTCCATATCATGTTGAAAAAGGTCAGTTAAAACCAGATACACCTGTCTCTTATAAGTCTAATGCATATTCTACTTTTTGGTAACAACCAAGTCTGTTTTTTTTTTTTTTGCAGTTTCATGTTACATTTAATGAACAAAATATTTAATTTTTTCTATGCTCGGTTATGTTTGTGTCTTTGTGGCAGAGATTGGAGCAGAAGTAACCGATGACATGTCGACAAGTTTCTCAGGTCACAGATATTTGTGTTGTCTAACGAAACTGCTCATCAGTACACAAATTCTGATGCTCATAATGTTACTGTCTTTCTTCATTTGCAGACTACTTTCGGGTATGCTGTAGAATTTTGTGCTGTTTTGAATTTTTGATCAAGATTATTTTGAAATTGTTGTCAATTTGTCTCACAGTAGGTAAGCAACATGTATCACCGAGGTAACATATGCGTTTTCGATTTCATATGATTTTATATCTAAATCAATATAGAAAGCTTCGACAAAACAAGTTGGAGTGAGGCAATGTTTGGCATGTTCAGGTGAGGCCTCAAGTTTCTGTTGGATGGGACCAAAACGGTGCACGTCTCTATGGTGGCAGCCTCTCCTCTCGAACAAGGGTATGCGATCTTGAACACCTCTTCAGCAAATATGGAAGATACTTTTTCCTCGGTTTAAAGTTCTTCTATGTTTAAACTTAGTCAGCTTATGTGGTTTTGTTTGGAATAAGCATCTATGTTTCAGCTTATTTTAAGGTTTGTATCAGCCTTTCTGGATTTACAGTTGATATGTGTATACCGTCGCCGTTACGGAACCTCTGGATTCATGCCTCTTCATGATTTCATTGGGTTGAATATGATTTAGTTCAGCTATTTCATACAAGACGTAAGTGTTTTTGTGTTTATTAATAGAAGAAAGCAAGCAAGTAAAATGCTTTTGTACTAACAACGTTTGTACTTTTTTTAAGTTTTGCATGTCTACACTAATCTTTATTGGTGGTGGTTTATAACAGGTACATGCATCTGCATGACTGATATAACATTGTTTCTTATTTCCTTGAACAGAAATATGGAATAAGTAAACTTGTGGAAGGTCAACAAATTGAGAGGCCAATGGGGGGGGGGGTGTGTAAGAGAGGAAGCTTCTTATCCAGAGAAGAAGCTTTATTTATTTATGAATAAGAAGGAAGAACGAAAACAGAAGAGTTAGGTCTTTGAGCTGAGGTATTATTTCTTAATTTACAGATTGATGGCTCGGTTTATATGATTTAGAGAACCTTGGGTTATGGTTTTCTTAAAAATTGTGCTTTGATTTTATTTGGTTTGTAATATGTTCTCATGAGTTTGTTTGAAAACCAACATTATGTTTAAACAAACAGTTCAATCAAAGACCATGTTTATCAATTTCAGTACTTACTTCTGTTTTCCAATTTGTTCAAACAATCTTTTTAACCTTCCCACTCAACAGTTTAGCAAAAAAATTGATTTTTTCCGGCCAGCCTGATAAAATAACTTCGGTACCCTATCAAACCAAAATTATATAGCCGTAAATTTAGTTAGCCAAAAGAGTTGGAACTGCCTTTAAAAACAAATGACTTAAATGGTGCAAGTAATCTAAGGCATAAAGTTATAAGCAAAAAGGAAAAACGGTGAATATTAAAAAAGGGAGTTTAATCATTTCAAATTTGTTGGGTAACACAATGAATTAATACAAGAATTCTAAATACTAATTATATTTTAATATTCAGTTCTAATATAATATATATATATATATATATTTAAATCTAACTTATAATTATATTTGCTTTCTCATACTCTTATATCTAATTGTTAAATAAGCAGTACATAAACTCTCATTTGATAAAAATAATAATATACAATATTTATGCTCCTTTTTTGGTTAATGAGGAAGAGTAAGAGATTAAAACTCAATTTTCCGCTCCATAAGATCTAGAAATATCTTTTATGATCCATGGTTTAACAAGATTTCTCTATTGTGTTCGATTTTGATCGAGTTAATTAATAATTCTTAAGGTTTAAATTTAGAGAAGTGTTAAAAATTATATAACACTATAAAATTTTGCAACTCTGAATCAGATCAGCGATAATACTGAATATGCTTACATATAGTTTTTAGTTATATAACTAAAAATTGATGTAGACAACATTAACTGTTTAACATAATCACACTCACAACTAAATGAAAATAAAACAATTTTACACATAAATTATATCACTGACAAAAACAAATATATCACATCATGCGTGTACCGGGGACCGACCACATGTAAACAAAACTCTCAACACCCTATTTCTTCCTCTATAACTTTCGAGATCTCCCATCAAAATCACTTAAATGGTGCAAGTAATCTAAGGCATAAAGTTATAAGCAAAAAGGAAAAACGGTGAATATAAACCCTTTATATAATTTTGAAGAAGATAGGCTAAAAACGTTAAGATATGAACCCCACTCAATAAGTTCTTATATTATCTCTATTAGGCAGTCTGTTTACGTTTCCAAATACTACTTAAAATATTCGTATACACAAGAAATATACACACATTGCATTTCTCTTAAATAATATTTCGTCATATACATTATAGAATCTAAATGGTAACTAAATATGTGACTCTCAAAAGTGTTGCGACTGTGCATTTTTAAAAAAATGCAACATCATCAAACGACTAATACAAAATCACCACACCATTATAAACTACTACAAATAGAATTATCTTATATCATAAGGTATTTTTTTGGGTCAAAACTCTAAGTGCTAACTTAAAATTAGTTTTTAAACAAAAAGATAAACACTGTTCAACATAAAATAGTTTTTATTATAACTTTCCGTCCGTAGAGTTTTTGGTATAATCTCTATGGGTTATACTATGTTGGTTATCTTCTGGATGTTTAAGTGAGTTTTGAAGTTCTCGGTATGATTCATTTTCTTCTTACTCATTTTCTGTTTTTAATTATAGTTGTAACGTTGCTTCACTTATATAAATCTAAAAAAGATGTTTATGGTTTTCTTTATTAACTCGACTCGATGGTGTTTCTCTTTAAAGGAGGAACACATCATATAATTTATGCTTGAAATTCAAAAGGTATATAGAATTTGAGAATTATCGTAGACATATTTTCCAACATTCTTACGATTTATTTCTTCACAAGTGATGACAAAGAAATTATGTGCAGATAATTAGTAAAAAGTTCATGTATCTAAATCTTAAACTTTTGGCTGTATAATTCAAATCTACCCAAACTATAAAGTTAGTCAGATCTTTCACCACTCTATGTTTCATAAACAAAATTTGTTCCAATCTTATCATTTAACATGTTTATATTTGATAGACATATAATTTTATTTTCGATGTATAAGATCAATATTATAATGATGTTATCAAAAATTAACCCGGGCGTAGCCCGGGAAAGACCCTAGTTGTTAATAAAAGTACCTTGCAGTGTTCTAATATCGAGTGATATTATTTTTTGTTTCCATTGACCTTTTCAGTATATGTATTCGGTAATACAAACATCCGCTAGGTAGCAGTAGCGTGTAGTCTTTGACATTCTCAATAACATCCTCATCATCATTCCCTGGAAGAATTTTGAGAACATGTTTCTCTTTTTGGTATAAATTGGCTTAGTTGAGAAGTTCTGCAATGGCTTCAAAACCAATTGTAAATCAATAAAGTATGACAGAAAATAAATCAACAAATAATGGGATTCACAAACACCTTTTGCTATATTAGAAATCAGTATCAATATTTACAAAAACTGCTTAATCAGCTTTAGTTATACAACTTATTAAACATCCTAACAATTGCTACTATAAATTTCTAAGTTAAAGAACTTTTGTTTTTTAGTCGTCTGCTATGTTAACCTGTGCTTCAGGACGACTCGAAGAACACTTACAAGATATTTTCACTATTCCTCTATAATAACAATTTTGAATGTCCAATCGATTCCTCATTGACTCCTTGCTATTTTATAATGATTCTCGTGTCCCCAAA